CATCGGGATACACGACAGTACCTTAATAAAGATGAAAACTATTTAATTTTCTGAATAATTTTGTGCATTGATTGACTCAGAAATATTGCTACCTGTCTATCACTGTTCGATTTTATATTATGACAATGAATAGATTAAAGAACTACTGGAAGAAAAAACAATGGAATGCGAGATCGAAGTTATTCATACATAGAGAATTGTAGACATGATCTTCACTGCATTTGGAAAGAGGGAAAATTTTCCTAGATAAGTTTTTGTCGGTATGGGTTGACATGTCTTGACGGGGATCATGTATCTGCAGAGTACATTTTTATATGACACTTAGAATCTCTGTGCAATGGAGAATTCGATCCGCTAGATTTACCGATGAACTAATCAAAATTCTACGTATTCAGCCGAAGCCTATATATTTATATATGTAACACTATCAACTACATAACATTGCGGTTCAACTAGAACTCTGAAATGATGCTTTTTTACATGATCCACTGAACATTCATGTGAAAATTGATAAAATAGCATAGAATCAAATCCATTAATAACTGGCAAATCTATGTATTATATCTGGTATCTTCACCATAATGGACGGTTGCTGTGGTCGATGGCTTGATTTTGCGTGAAAAAAAACAATTTCTCTCAAAGGTTACGTGCGTCTATAAAACTAGTTAAAAAATGTCTAATAATTTCATCTCAAGTTGTTATATGTATTTATACAAATAAAATTCATAGAAAAAAAAGAATATGTATTGCGAATATGTTTCATCGCAGCTTGTTTCTGTTTAGTTCGTTACTTTATTCTTAACTGCTCCACCAACTACTGTCTGTCCAATATTAAAATTGTCGTAAGTACTGTTGGAATAACTCATGGGAGACAAGAACTGGAGAGCTACGATTTTCACCATCTGACAGAAGAAATGTTCGAGTGTCTTTTTCTCAAATATTGTATCAGAAAGATCATTGTAATATCAATCACTTCTGCAGCATACGTATGAAAACGACTTGTCATTCCGACAAGATTTTCTTTTGAATAAATTTGTAAGCGAAGAAGGGATGAGGGGTGCATTAGTTGGATGGATGTGAATGGTTGTGAGAAGTAGTTTTTCCCATAAAGTTATACAAAATTATTGCATGAAATCTACAGACAATCTGAATAGTACAATATTCATTAGTTCATTCATGATTTATAAAGAGTAAAGCCTGTTTTGAACATTAAAATATATCATTACCTTTATCAATCTTGATTTCTTGTACAATCGTATCTTCGGTGGCTCGTCTTTGAGAGAAGAAATTCGCAATAGGGTACATCCTCAAGACTTCAGAAACGAACAGATCCATATAGGACAATTGTGCGACGGTGTCGAAGTCTGGATATTACTTCATCTCATCATCGTCGTTGTCACCAGCTGATAACGGAAGTTGATCGATTTCAGCCTGGAGTTTCTGAAGGACGTCCGGGTGTCTAGCCAGTTCGTACGTAGCAAATGCCAAAGCATTTGATGTTGTTTCAGATCCTGCTACCATGAAGTTAACGATATTACTCTCAACTTCATCCACGGTTAACCGATAGTTCACTTTGTTGTCATCTGTTGTATCCTACGAAGAGAGTATATCTATGACTGCCTGACGGTAACGTCCAGCCCCTCTGTCTGCACAAACAACTTGCTAGTATTGCGAGAATTTCGTGAGAATGTGATAGAGATGTATGAAATACATGGAAACTATGAATCTTTTTCATGTATAGCAAGTATCATTTTATCGGCTGAAAACAGTGTATAGATATTTTCAAAATAAATTACATATTTTAAAAGGTCAAAAAAATGGGAAAATTCGTTATAAGTTTCATAGGTTACGTGAGTTTCTTATTCTACATAGTAGTAGAAACTGCAATGAACCTCATAATTCGTAAAATCAATAGGACCAGCTTGAGTGTTGTCGATCATTTTTACTTTGTAATTATTCTGACAAGTATGACCAGATGCTGACAATTCAAGAAATTTCGAAAGATTAAACGACATGTGTCAATGATGAATTACCACAACCAATGATAGCTTATATTTATTTAGCTAAAGATTTCTCTTGTTAAAACTATTCTTCTCATCATCATCGACATTGGAATGTTTTAAGGTAGCATGAGATTTTGGCACACACAACTCGGACACTGTTGGTATCAATAAGAGAAAATAAGATCGAATATGTCTTTTGCAGCCCTTCCTATGCTCTTTTCATCATTGATATAAAACAGTGCATTCTGCTCTTGTTCTATTGAAATCACAGAAAAAAGGTTATTTGCACCAGAGAATCAGTTCATCAGCGGATATGAAAACGACAAACAAAATGAACGTTCTATTTTTCGTAAGTTTCGAGTAAAAAATTTCAGTTAAAAAACTGTTGGTCAGTAGAGAGTGAGTGGTCATTAAGAGAAATAACTTAAGCATTCGAAAGATCCTACTTACAATAATTGTCTCTTCGGTAGTCACTGGTAGCATCAGCTGCAGGAGATCGACTCGTGAGATAGGCGTCTTTTGACAATGCTCGACAATATCGTGCACTCGATTGAGGAGCCACATGTACGGTAATTCCTCCAACTGTATGGTTGATGATATCAAAGGCAGAAGCCGTGTATTAATAAATGTTCGCGCGGTACTTTGGACAGCAAAGAGCCAACCAAGAACAATGCCAAACGCAGGCACAACTTCAGCAATTTTGGCTAAGAAATGCTCTCTGAAAGTCATGCTTCGAAAGATTTCCTGCACTTTTTTAAAATAGATATTGTTCGGATTACTTTGCACATCAGTATCCATTCCAAATGCACAACGACCTAAAAGGTCAAAGACAAAGTACTTTACGAGATTTTTTGCATCTTACAAAGTACTGAAGCTTTTTTTCTGCATTGAAATTATGTGTCATCGTATGCTTTAATATACGTTCGATACAGAAAATAGGATCAACTATTCTTATTCAATATCTTGCGAAAAAAGATGCAGCTACATGCACTTACAAATAACATCCATCGACAAACGTTTATAATACAGATAGATGTTGAAATCGTCGCCGTTTTCTACATGATCCGGAAATTTTTTCATCAAATCAGAGACACATCCATTGATAAGAGGACTCATTGATTTCAATTTTGTAGCAGCAAACGATGGATTAAGCACGTGACGTTGACGACGCCATGTTGCACCAGAAATGAAAGCAAGATTATGAAATATGTTATCCAATATAGTGACTTTTCGTGCATGAAAGACGGAAAATTGTTTGACAAAGACTTCTTGTATAAAATCGGGATCACTGACTACGAACACTGGATTACTTCCTTCATAGATTCCATAAATCTTGCCGTACTGCTTTGTCCAGCTTTCAAGTTGACGATGGTAGGACGCGACATTCCACAATGTCTTGAGGTGAACAAAGAAAAATTGGAAGGGTGGTGTAGGAATACCACGCTGACTAAAGTATTGATAACGTTGTTGGAGTTGAAAGAGATAATAAGTCAAGAGCACAAGAAATGCAAAGAGTATGACGATAAGTAGAAACATCATGCAGTGTCCTATCTTTTTTACTGACTGAAATTATAACACAGATAGTGGAACAAAACGATGTCTTGCAATAATAAAAATAATATTAAAAAAGACGTTATTGGCTTTATAATATGCTTTTACCTATTTATACTCTATATTCGTCTCCAGTTTACAGATTGTTTTGCTTGTTCTGTGATAAAAAAAAAAATACGTTTGATAGCGACAGGCCATATTTTGAGCAAAGAATATGTTTGTATCTTTCACGTGTAAGAGTGGTACACTTTGTGTTTGCTTTTACTCTTATCATACTTTCGCTTAACTTTAAAAGAAAAAAAAATCATGTGTTCACTGAACTGGAAAGATAAGGTTGAGAAACAGTGAACAAATCGTTTATATTTGTGTGTCTAAATATACTTTTAAAGTGCAATTTTATCTACAGAATGTTATATTTTACTATCTTCATTTGTTTAAAGGAAAGTCGCCAAGAAGAATTTTTTTCACCCTAATTGGATTTTATATCTCTCTGTGGTACACTTCATATGAAATTAACGGAATCTCGGAATCATAGAATCAGCTGTTTCCCCATTGATACACATGATAATTTATTAATTGATATAGAACTCATTTTACGTAAAATTCATTCTTTTTTTCTAACCCAAGCAGTCAAAAACAACAAAAATTAACACGTAAAAACAGCCACTTTCAGTTTTGCTTTCCACGCCTTGTACACTTCGACAAATGTTCGAATTTTTGCGTTTCAACAGTTGATATAATTTGGACTTTCACGTGGTTAGAACGAGTGGGAAGAGAAATATTTAAACGTATTTATAAAATCACTGCATTAAAACGAAAAAATTCGGACATTTGTTAAAGCGTGCAAGGCGTTCTAAAAAATCATTTTAATGCTAGTGATATGCAACCATTGTGTCGCAATGTTGAGTCAAACGCATGAAAACTCACAATTTCTAACATTTTTAAATGTCTCAAAATTGTTAAAAAACCATATTTTAACAGATCGCATACACACACTAGTAGCTGTGCGTAATGTATACAAATGAACGCGATATTCGAATTACTAACAATAAGTGCATTTCGCCACACTGCTCAATTCTTACAAAACAAAAGAAAACAATGGTAAAATTGTCTTTCTCTCGAAACCATAAATAAAAATTGCAATTTATCAAAAACAAAAGTTTCATTTTGTTTATTACTTTCAAATTTTATTTTTAATTTATATATAGATAATTCTATCAACATGCAATAAAATAAATTTATATTCATTCCATCTTTTTTCACTATCGGTGACGGTCGCATTTATATTCTCCTTTCTATACAAGCACGTACATATACAACAGTATATACGTCTTTTTTTTTTCTTCCCTCCCTCTTCATCCCGGTATTTGGATATTCTTCTATTCTTAATTAACTTAATCGATTCTCGGCACAGTGTTAACTGGCCAGGGTGGTGGTCTAACCACTATGCCAACAAATTCAGGCTCTCCCTCACACTTATACAATTCTCCTGAAGCTCCACAGCTGCAACAGCGTCAAGTTAAAAGTTCATCAAGTTCATCAATTTTCGTTAACACCAAGTATACGGACAACAGTTATCATCATGTTCATCATCATCAACAAATAAGAAATTGTGATCGAAATCCACCAACTCCTCATTATATCAAACAAAAACAAACTAGTTCACCTCGATTAACACATAGTAGAATCGGAAAAGTTGATACGTATGATTCACCTGATTCACAAGGACATTCTTATGCAATACATACTGATACAACAGAACGATCAAATAAGAAAAGAAAACAAAGTGGTAATGATGCACCAATGGAAATTTATGATGATTCACCAGCTTGTTATCAATCACGTTCACATGATTATTATATTCAATCAAATACAAATACAAATACAAATAAAAATACAAATTCAAATTCAAATACAAATTCAAATACACATTCTAGTACATCTGCAATTACAAATGAAGCACAACGTTTTGCAACATCTCGTTATCCATTTCCTCCTTTTATTCTTAAATTCAATGCTGGAAAAATTAATGATAAAGCAGCTATTGAAGAATTATTAAATTACAGTAAAATAAATTTTTCTTTCGATCTCGATTTAGTTGGATTTAGAACGTCGTCAATTAGATGTAATTCTAATGAATGTAATCTCTTGATTTTTGTTAAAAATAGTTCATCTTTTTCTTTTCTTTATTCGGACATCAAATGGCCTGATCGATTATTTAATGAAACATTTACCATTGATAAACAACCATCAATTCCACCACAACTGGCGGTAATTATTACAAATGTTAGTTATAAAATTGATTTTACTGATTTTGAAAATGAATTAAGAAACAATTATGCTAATGTGCTTAAAGTTATTCGATTAAAAAATAAAGATCAAT